TTTTTTTTTTTTTGGTTTTGGTTTGGTTTTGTTTTCTTTTTCATAGCAATTTCTTAATTTGAACATATATTGTCTTTTTTTTTTAATTGAAGTATAGTTGAGTTACTTTGTTTCAGGCATACAGCAAAGTGATTCCATTTTAAATCAAAGAGCCATTGGGAGAATAGAAGGGTATGTCTTAGATCAGTACAGTTATCCAGCATTATTATTTATAAAGTACTTAGAAGAGTGCATGGCACAGAATAAGTCTGTTGGTGTTTGTTACATAAATGCATATGTGCACGAAGGCAAATTGCTAAAAAAATTCTCAGGCTCAACACTCATACTTCTCACCAATAAGTTGCAAAAAATACACAGATGATAACAGAGCCTTTCCCCTTTCTGTTACGTGGTACAGTAAGCGGGCAAAATATCAGAAACATTCATTCCAATAGTTCTTTTAGCAAATAGAGTCCATGTTGGTGTTTTCTGCACTGATGGGAAATAATCTCTTCTCCAGGGGTGTGTGACTTCCAGCGCCTGTGAACCTTTATCATCATCAGTAGCGATGCCTCAGACAGAAATCGACAAAGAAGTTTTGATATCAGAAGTGACTGGAAATAGCCCTACAAGCAGCCACCACAGGAGACAATGTGTAAGAGTGTAACGAGGCTCAGGGACTTAGTGTGTTTGAACAACTCTGATTTAGGAAAATTTAAGTCCAGTTACTGTTCCAGTTTCCTGTCATTGTTTCCCCTAGAGTTGCAACTGCCCACATTAATTACAACTTTTAGCCAAAGTAACTAACTTCTATTACAGAGGGAAAATTTCTAGGTGAATAATTAGAAACTGTCTATTATGCAGAATCAGTTTATCAGACTAGAGGAACTCATGAGCACACATAACGCAACTTCCCAGCGTCCTACATATCAATTTTACATCTTCAGGTGACAAAAGTAAACACATTTGTTAACAAATTAATTTTTAAAAAATATGTATGTGCCTTTCACTGTCTTCAAGCTATTTTACAACTCTCTAAGTTACAGAAAACTGATGTGATGTAAGATTCTGTTAGATTCTGGCTATTCTCAACAATAAACTGTAACACAGTAGGTTCTCCATTTGAGTGGTTATGTCAGGAGATTACCAGAATGGCTTTGGCTCCAGTTTGTTTCAGTTTGTTAATACTTTAAAGCATAATCTATCCTTTTATAATAAGCATTATTATTTTATAAATAAACATTTATTTTAACAAAAGTAAAATCCATTTAGAGGAAGTATCAGTAACACCAAACGTTAAAGCGCATTACTGGGCCACTTTTTGTTCGAAAGAGACGACAGAGATGATAAATGCCTATTGTGGTCCTTGGGTTTCCTTATTACTTGATTGGTGTCCAGAGAAAAAGGCTGGGTTCCAAATCCAGACAACAACTGCAGTAGCCGAAAGCAAAGCGTACTGTTCACCCTCCTGTTCCTTAGTCCTCATTCTCTTAATTCCTGTTCTCAGACTCTCAGCTTGCTCTGAACCACATCTGCTTGTTGCAGAAAAAGAAATGACCATGATATTGGGAAAAAAAAAAAAGATGAGCAGCAGAGCGTGTTTGAACAGATACATATAATAGTGTGCATATTTCTCCTTATCTATGCAGACAAAATGTACCAAATCCTCAAGAAGGTAACACAGAGGATTGCTAAATCAGACTCACTAGCATCATCGGAGATTTTACCCAGTGGTAAGCTTTACTAGCAATTTCAATGTGGTACAGACCAAGGGTGAGAAATCCAGGCTTTCAATGCAGCTTTCCAGGTCCTTCCTTTCTATCTTAGGTTGCACTGTCATCCAGACTAACAGATTAACATATGAAGTCTCCAAATGATGCTTGTGGCTTCATCACGTACACAAAACGAGACGCTTTGGCTATGATGCATCTCCATCTTGTACTCAGCTGGTTATATAGTTTATGAGACATTTTCTAGGAAGCTACGCTTTATAAACTCATAGGTTCCAGTTCCATCTTTTTTGCTTTGTTTTGTTTTGACCGTAAACAGTTTTAGACACTCCAACACATCCTGCTAAAAGTAGTCCATGATAAGGAGCTTGACAAGCAAAACCTACCAGTGCTTGCTAGTAAGTTTGTCATTAATATGTGTTTACAAGGAAACATTACCAGGTCAGGATCCTTCTTTTTTCCTCCCTTCCCCATAGAAGGAATTTACAGACTGGTGCCCACAATTTTCTTCCCGCTAAGAGAATGAATGTATTTTCCAAGCAGTGAGATCAAAATAAATTTCTCATTTGGGATCAATGGAATGTATACTATTGCTATATTCTGCAGCATTTTAGTATCTGGATTACTAGGCTGTGAAAAAAGCCTCACTGTTCATAACTTAAGTGGACGTTAGTTTATTTTCCCCGTCAGTTTGTTCAGATTTGAATGATCTTTTAGGTACTGGAGCCATCACTTGCTTTGAGCAAAGGCAGTCGTAAATGACAGAGGAGAAAAATTGCAGTTGCCTGCAGTGGACACTAAGGGAGAGGAGACGCTGCAAAGAGAGATGCAGCTTCTGGATGCATCTTGTATAAGTGATGCTGAACATCCCAGTGGAATTTCAGTCCGGGTTCTCTTTGCAGCAGGTTCTGATAAAGGTCTGAGTGAATGTTTATTTGAGAGACGTGTAGATAAATGTAGAAAACGGAGTGTTAACACAGGAAGGGGGAGGCAGAACAAAATAAAGGTCACCTTAATCCAGATATTAGAGGAGGAGAATGGAGCTTCACACTGTTGAGTGATTCTAGGAAATGGGAACAAAGTTCAAAATTGCATCATATTCAAGTCAAGGCTGCTGGACTAGATCAAATCCTGAAATTCTTTGGTTGAGGGTCATTCAGCTGAGAATCCCCAGCACTGCTGGACCCTGATGGGAGGGAGCGCAGGATGGCTTTGCAGCAGTTCTAAGGGGGGAAACCCTGCAGACACACAGTTACAGACACTGACGGGCCACAGTTTACAAATGTTCTGAGGGGTATGGGTGAGGAAATGGTAACTTTTGCTCCAAGCAGAGATAAGTAGTAGGGAAACTGGAACAAAAGCAGTTCAAATGCCTTTGTACAGAAAGGAACCAATCAACCGGGGTTGACAATTCAGACAGAATTAGAGGAAGTCATTATCTGCCCATCTGTCTATTATCTCTTGTGTGTGTGTGCACATGTGTATTCAGTTATCTTATTTGTGACTTGAGCCTGGAGTTCCCAGACTGCGTGCATCTTTGATGGACTTTTACTTCTAAGTCAATAAACTGAGAGAGAAAGAGTGAGTGAGAGAGATAGAGAGAGAGAGAGAGATGTTAAGTCTCTAAGCATGGTTCTGAAAACTTAGAATAATTTCCAAAAGAAGATGGGCTGTTAGTGTTGGAAGTATAATAATAATCCTTTTAATATATTCTGCCAAAAATTTGTATCATCTCAAAACTGAAGCTAGAGATAAAATCCTAAACTCCTATTGAGTTAAGATAATTTTCATCAAAAATGAGCAAAATTAGGTAGCTTTTGCTAGTTCAGTAGTGTACAACTTTAAAACTGAAAAAAAATGATTTCAGGAAGGCATAGGGTTATTTACAAATCACTTCTCTCAACTTGGATTTGCATAAAATCTGGATGGAGAATTTTCTTTTTTTTTTTTTCTTGATGAAGAATGTTCATGTTTACGTTCTCCAGTGAGGATTTATATTGTAGCTGTTTAGATGATTCAATGAAAGCTGCCCAATGTCCCACAATGCAAATTAAAAAGATAGAAAACTTTTAACTTCATGGAAACTGAGAAAACAAATTACAATCTTTGTTTTTTTGTTTTTCTCCTTCTCTTTTTGGTTGGAAAGACTGTATTTTGCAAAAAGGTTCATCTATGGTAATACTGTAATGCTTAAAAATAATATTAATAACAAAAAACTTGGGAGTCTATTTCTGTGTGGGGATGAACAGTAAATTGTATTTTCAGACACTTCATCGTTGATGCAATCTCTGTTCCCGACTCTTATTCTGCATATCTGCCCCACATTTGAAATACCCACTATTAAGTTCACTCTTCTGAGGACAAAATGTGTGACTTGAATTATCAGTATACTATCTGATTGAGATAACACAATAAATGATTACAATAATTAACATATTAGCAAAAATTAAGATAATCGGGCAGCTGTGTTCATGTCAAAGGACGCTAAGGGAGTGGACCACTGGAGAGTCAAGTATTAAAAGAAACTTTTAAGGCTAATGTGAATGGGGCATCGAGTGTGGGCTCAGAACAGCTGAAGGAGTTGCAGAGCACAGATGTTTGTGGGGCAGAGGACATGTGCACTCATGGGACAGTCATGGGAAGTCCCTCTGGTTCTACTTTTTTTTAATCTTTGCTTTCCATCCCTGGGTTAATGAGACAGGATGCAGAAGCCCAGAACGAGAGATGGGAGATTCCAACCACTCTGCACTAAAGAAAAATAAATGAAAATCAACAAACATACAGACACAGAGGGAAAGGCTTGACTTGAAATGTACCGTGTGTGTGCCCTGGAGAAGGACTGCCCGGGTTTCAAACTGAAGTGACCTTGACCAGACCTTGGTCTAGTACGTAGCTTTACCTTTGTTTTCGCATCGGTGAAACTGGTATATTTATATATCTTCCTTATTAAGTCATTTTCAGGAGTAAATGGACTAGTATATGCCACGTGCTTTAACCTGTGTTTAACTGGCCCAACGGAAATAATAAACTTTTCTCATTATTAAAAAAGGAAACTTCTGTGTGGAATTTTATTATACTAAGTAAATTTACCTTTAGTTTAGTCCTATTTCCCCTTGTTTTCCAAGTATTGTTAAAGATGACTTTGATGTTCAAACAGCAAAGTGTAACCTCCCTCTCGCCTTCTTTTGTGCCTGTCAAAGGGTTGGCATTGCGCAAGTCGGGTGAGGACTTCCTGTGTTGTGGTTCCAGAAATGTTTTAGAAGATAGTGATTTTACTGCTTCTTGCTCGTACTACACATCCATGGCTCATCAACAGATGGTACAAGCACACTGAAACACACAACTTTTCTTCTCAATTTCTTCACGCACCACTTGCGGGTCCCTTGGGCTCCCGCTCAGCTCCGTGATGTGACACTGCACCTCCCGAACAGACACACGTCGTGCCTTAACCCGCATCGCGACATCGGGACAACATTTCACATGGCAGGTACGTGCAGCTCAAGTCATAAAATTAAAAAATTAAAATAACCAGGAAAGATATCTCATGGCAATTCTTTAAGAAAGATGTCAGGCAACACTAAAAAGCGGATCTTTTTAGGCTTCCCGTGTTTCAACACTTTCCACTTTAATTTCATTCTTCTAATTCTTCATTGTGTAACTCAGGAATACTAGTGCAGATTTTCCAACAGGTTTAAAGAGTGGATTCTGAAAGGGATGGCTCTGATGGGGATCTGAATTTGCCAGGAGAAAATACAAACAGCAGAATTCTAGCATGGAAATAAATATAGAATGCTAAATGTTAACAAAACGTTGTTTAACAGTGTTTTGTTTTTTTTTTAAGTGTATCATTTGTGTTGTGACATCCCTAAACCACCCAGATTCACAGTTTGACACAGTGGACTGTTGTTAATGACAACACTCTTTGGGAGTGTGGTAATGTTAATGCAGAATCTTCTGATATTAAATTGTTTGGGTGGAAATGCCTATAAGCAAGTAATGTTTGGTATGAGAAAATGTAATAAATGTAAAAAATGGTTTCTGTAAATAATGGTTGCTGATGTATCATAATTCAGCCTGCTGTGACATGAACCCAGGTCCCCAAGGTCCCGTACGTTGGTTGGGAAATGTCTCATCCTACCAGGACCGGAGCATGCCTGTGTCTTCTGTTCTGGGTACAGCTTCTACAAAGCCTGGTATTTCTCAAAGCAGTGAATACACTGAGATTAGCAGAAGGTCACAGTCCCACGTAGCATTATTGTGACAATGACAGAATATGTTGAATGAGATACTCTGAACAACTGGACAAACTTTCATTTGATTTCTGACTTGGATACTTAATAGCTTTCATACCTTGAGAAAGCAGCATTATCAGTGGATCCTAAATTTTCTCCTCTGCCTCATGGGAATCATACTCTCCATCTTGTGATTTTGTTGTTGTTGTGAAAGTAAGAATTTGCTATATAAGCTGATAAAGTAGAACTTAGTGCCCGTGAAGCTCTTCTTACTACACATATCTAAGATTCTCTGTCAAACTAGAAAATAAATGGTAAATATATTTTATTGAGACAGAGCTGATGGAGGAGAAAAGGTGTGGATAACCTCACTGAAGAACAAAATAACACCACATAAAAATGTTGGTATTTGGTGGACTTCTGAGTGGGATGTCTTCATTTCCCCACGTTTCATGGGCAAAGTGAGCGGGTCATCCAACCAAAGAACTTTTTGGATTCTCTTACTGGTTTCTGCTTTTAAAAACTTCAGCTCCTGGGTTTGTTCTTCAAATTATTACCCATCTTTCTTTCTTTACAGCTTTTCAGACCACTCCATGGAGGTTGATTTCAGGGATCTTAGGAGTACTATGCCTTTTGTTGATGGCTGCTTTGGGAGTTTTGTTGAAACATTGTAAGTTTTTCTGGGCAAGGCTATATAAAGATCAAAACTATGATGAAACTACTTTATAATAATGCTTTTATTTTTACTAATGTATAGTGTTTTGTTATTTCATAAACTTTTGCTTGATGAGGTCAATTTCTACACATTTCTTGCAGCATTTACTAAACAAAACGATCAGCCAACATTCTCTCCAGGACCCTCCATAGATCTCCAGGAAGGTAGGGTCGTATCTGACATTAATATCCCCTGAAGTGTGGTGTGTGTAGTAAATTCTCAAAGAATATTCGTAGAGAAATAAATAAATAAATAACAAATGATTTTTTTAATCAGTAAATAACGCTGAAAAAAATGAATCTCCAATGCGTCAGTCATGTTTTATTTTTTTTTCCTTAGGATCTGACTGCTGTTCTTGCCAAGAAAAGTGGGTTGGGTACCAGTGCAACTGCTACTTCATTTCTAATGAATTAAAAACATGGAAAGACAGTAGCAATTTTTGTGCTTCTCATAATTCCAGCCTACTTCAGATGCAAAGCAAAAATGAACTGGCATGTATTTAATTCTGATTTTCTACATTTTCTTTGACCTAGGAACATACATTATCTAAGTAAGCTGAATACTTTGATTCAAGTCTTTAATCAGATAGTAAATGAATGGTTATATTTGAACTAAAGTTCCTATACTTAAAAGTAGTCACAAAATCAACACAACATTTCTCCAAGATTTATATTACAGGGATGTGATAGATAAAGCACAAGAAACTTTTCAGGGAGAATTCAAGGAAGCAATAATAGGTTATTATTTTTATTCAAAGAACTTTAAATTTTTAGTTCTTTAACTGAATTTACAATTTATTTGTAATTGTAAGCTGTTGTTATTCTTGGTAATAATGCGGAATGAATGTCTAAAGTATTATAAAACAATTACTCAATTCTTAAGAAAAAGTGAACATTTTCTCTAGTTGCCTGCAGATGTTGCACTAAGAGTTATCTCTCAAGATACTGTTGATTTGGGATCAGATTTGATTGTCGATTCCCTGTGAAGGAAGTGAACTATGAACTCTACCTCTCTTGGTAGAATTTTTTAATTCCTTCAAGCAGTGAGATTTTGTGGTATCTTTTCCCTCCATAAATGAATGGGTTCGATGAATGAGAAATATGAGGCATGTGACTGACCATACCTCTTAAATTAGAAGTTAAAAACGATTTTAGTTTGTATAATTGAAAAGCTGAATCTGATGCTGGACACAGACCTTCTTAAAAGGACATTATCCCTAGAGTGGGTTTAAAGTAGATTAATGTGTTTGTCTCTGTTTCCAAGCAGCACTTTCTGAGCCTCAGTTCGTACCTTTACTGGATCGGACTCTCTTACAGTGAAGAGCATCGTGCCTGGCTGTGGGAGGATAATTCCACCCTCTCCAAAGATCTGTAAGTTTCTGGCAGTCAAACCTTTTCTCTGTTCTTTCTGAATTTATCCTAGATCTGACCAGGGAATATTAATATCCAGGAATACTATGACTAAGATACCCTGCTCAAGGCATGAAAATACAGAAAAGAGAATAGATGAAACCGAATAACAACTTTAGCCCCATCCAGAACACCCAAGTGTGTGCTCAAGGAATGTGAAGTTAGTGTACTTGTGACTCTAGAAGAGATTTTGATATACGCCTTTTTTCCTGCCCGGGTACCAGAACTTGGACATGTATGTGCACGTACACATTCTCACACATACAGAAGCAGCCCAGGAAAAAACAGCATATCCGTTATTTTTCTTAATTCGGTGGAGCCCAATATTCTCAGCATCCTCCCATGTTTCAAATATTCTGGGCTTATTTTATGTATATTTGTAACCGTCCAATCTGATTCTCATTCATAAACATGGAATTGACAGCATCATACAAGGACACATTTTATGCTCTGATATTTTTCCTAGACTAGCTAATATACCTTTAAACAAAATCAAAGTCTATCAAATATCAAAACCATTAGAAACCACAGCAAAAACCAAAAACCTGCAACCTCAATGCTACTGATTACTGAGGCAATAACTGAGTGTAACATTATACTCTGAAATTGTGAAAAATAACTTGAATAAAAAAAAGATAATGACTCAATATGGTAATCTCATTCAAATGCTTTTAAAAGTTCTATCATTTAACAACAACAAAAAATCATTCTAGAACATTCTCATTTCCTTTTCCCATACATTAAAAATTTCTTCTTCATTACAGATTTCTATTATCCCACCCTGAAAATCCAAAAAGCTGCATAATCTATAGCCCAAGCTACAGTGTTTTGGATGAAAACTGCAGAAGTAAATATCGTTATATCTGTAAGCAACGGCTTATTTAGTTGTTTCATGGGACAGATGGGGTGGGCAATAAAGATCCAGTATTATTTAGATAAGTAACGTAGTATTACTACTTATCAACTTCTGGAATCTGTAAAGTGTTTCAAACTGTGTCTTTTCATACATGTTTCACATATTTGAAAACACTTGTTTAAAGTTTTTTTTATCAATATGTAATTGACGTACAACATTATATTAGTTTCAGGTATACAACATAACAATAAACTAGACACTGTCTCATTGACATCCATCACCATACACAGTTAGAATTTTTGGTTTTACTATGTGTTTTAAAATTGATGAAATTTGTCTGTCTACCCCTGAAATTGTAAAGAGTCAAGATAAATAATTTTATGAATGTTTAATGTGTATGTTAAATATTGAATGTAATAGTTTTATGCATAGGTTCTTGTAAAATCTCTTAAAAATTTAAATAAAACTTAATTCATGCCAAATAATGCATATCAACACCATTTCAATCTTTTGTATGGCATACTAAATTGGGAAGTCCTAGCCTCATTTTTTTTCTGGAAGTGAAAATCAGTTTAATGTTCTTTGTTAATTCTTTCTGGATATCTCCATGTGTTTGAACTTAGAGCTGTAAGGACCCTAAATCAGCATCCTCATATGCATCACTTGACTTCAGAGGGGAACACATTTGTGGGTCTTCTCTTGCTGCTATGGAGTTCTGCAGAAAAATTGGAAGTCTTTGGCCCAATATGTGATTCTCAAATGATTGCTGTCATATTGTGGGAGGGGAAAGGGAATCTAACCCCTGATCACATAAACTTACAATACTTATTTCTTTACTGCACAGATCTGTCTTGCCTTATGCTTATCCAGTAGGGGAAAGAAAAAAAAAAGCTGCTATTCCATGTGCTTTAAAGAGTTTAATCTCTAATCAATCCCAAAAAGTCTTTTCCTAAAATGTATGCATCAAATACTAAACAATTACCCTTTTTTAGGCCGGAATAGGGGACTTAGGGAGCAGCCCATTTTATTGGTGGCTTTCTGAGTGGGTCAAAGAAGGGGTGGGAACACAATGAGTTCTGATACCTGTGACCTGGATGGGACTTTCCCAACCTCACAGATTTCAAAAGCAATGAGGAAACAGAAAGTGTTAAATATGACAGATGATGCTTAATTTCAGAGAGTAATCTATGTCAAAATTGTCGTCACTGAGGGAAGAAAATTCCTGTTGCCCCCCAATTATAGCTCAGATTTTTTTTTTTTGGCTCCCATATCATTTCAGGGTATTTATGATGGAAAATGCTGGCCTGAATGAGGGACACTGGTTACCCATGGCAGAGTGTCCTTCTCACAACTGGCCCCATCATATTAGTCAAATTCAACCCAGGACCATCTGATCCATTTCATTTTTATTATTCTTCCTCCCACCCTTACCTGCATGCTGCTTTCTTTCATCCTGAGAATATCTTTGTAGCCCTTGGCATGGGAAAGATTTTTTTATATAAAGGTTTCACACAAAATATTTTTCCCCTCTGACATGACATTCCTCATATATTCTCTGGGAAGAGATACTTATTTTTCTTTTGCTCTCTCTCTTTTTTTTTTTGGCTATGAAATGGGCTGATGTATATGAAAGGATTTAGCTGAGGGACTATCTCAATATTAGATACGGAACAAAGAGAAGAAGGTGAGGAAATGTGCAAAAAACACACAAAAAAGACAAAATGATATTGCTAAAAGTCAGTTTGTTCTCTCTTAATTTCATCTTGTTACTTTGTGTTATCTGTTACCTTGAATGTATGTAATACATGTTGTGTTTCGATGCATAGCAAATTGTGCTAAATTTAGAAGCTTTAAACAAGTGGAGCCTCTATTCAGTTAAATCAAGAATCTATAAAGAGTATATTTTATAGATTATCTTGGTTAAACAATAAGGCTTCTAGGAAGCTTAAAGGCATTTTTGCTTTGCCATCTCACAGAAGCTTTATGTAGAAAAGCTCAAAGAGATTTATGAGTTGTGGGGTTTGTGAATGGAGTGAATCATGGTAAGATTCATAGGGGACTCCAAAACATTTTTAAGATAATTATATCAATAGAACCAAGGCCAATTAGAATTGAAAATGGTAGCGACAGTAAAAATGCATGTATGCATACATACATACACACATATATACATACAAACGTGCGTAGATGAGAATTTTGGCCCCCTCAATTATTTGCAAGCAGGAAGCACGCTAAAAAAATTATGAAGTCACAAACAAGTGCTACCTTTCATTAAAAAGAAAGGATTATTCAGAGGAGAGAACCAAGATCCTGGAGAGTGGATCCAAGAATTATGGAGAACCATTATTCGGTAAGAGCAGCACTGAGTCCCAATCAAGTAAGTCCCAAAGTTTGCTCAGCTTAATTTCAGAATTACTATAAACCAGTGACTCCTCTTTTGTGTCTCTCATTCCCTCATACCCTACACAAATATTTTGAACAAGAATGTCCACAAAATTTATCTTCCTTTGGATGCTGGGTGCCTAAGGGGAGAAACTCTAGTATTGTTAGTTTCACACGTCTTCAAGTTGAGAAGAGATGTGCTCACGAAGCTAAGTTTAGGAAGCTACACCTGGCAAGTATCATCCGTATCTGTTCCTGGACCTGACAGACTTCTAGACTTTGAGCTGATGGCGTGATGGGATGAGGTTTTTGAAGGAGTATATTCTGCATGTGGGAGGGGCATAAACCACTTAGGGCCAAAGTCTGGACTCTCATAGTCAGCTTCCTAGATGAATTTCTATCTGTACTTTGTAAGACCATCATCTCAATTAGTATGAAGAGCATATATCACCCAAAAAGTTTCCTTTTGTGCCTTTAGAATACCTTCCTCTGCCCCTTCCCCCGAAGGTGACTGCTGTATGGCATTCTGTTATTATAGATTTACGTTTTCTACAGTTTTATATAAATAGAATAATTAGTATCTATTGTTGTATCATCTGTTGTCCTGAATCTTTCAGTCAGTGTAATTGTTTTCATATTCATTTATGTTGTTACATGATTCACATTTTATTGCTGAGAATCGTCCAGCCCTTGAACAAAGTATATGTCTTGTATTCATTATTCTTAAGTTTTTCTCAGTAATGTTTCTAGTTTTTAACATGCAGGTTTTTAAAATATTTTTACGAGATTTTCCCCCAAGTATTTCATTGTTTTTCATTCTATTATAAATTATATTTTTAATTTCAATTTTTGGTTTTTCATTGCAAGAATATACATACAACTGATTTTGTATGAATTTGTTGATTCTAGCAGCATTTCTATCCATTCCACTAGATTTTCTGTGTAGGTGATTTCGCCATACGAATAAAGACACCTTTATTGTTTCTTTTCAAAGCAAAATACCTTTATTTCTTTGTCTTGCCTGATCACAGTGGCAAGATAAATTCAATACAAAGTTGAGTACTCGTGGTCAGAGTAGACACCCATGCCTTGTACTTAATCTTAGAGCATAATGTTCATTTTAAAAAATGTTGTACTTAATGTCGCTTGCGGAAAACCACCAAAAGTAGGTGTGTTTTTATCAAATGCTTTTTTTCTGCCTCTGTTGGAAACAATTACACTGAGTGAAAAATTCAGGACATTAGATGTAAATACTTATATAATTCTACAACGGAACTCTAGGGTTTATTCGTCTTGCACAGTTGAGACTTTGTGCCCACTGATTAGCAACTCCCTAACCACCCCCAACCCAGACTTGGCAACCAACTTTCTACTTTCTACTTCTGTGAGTGTGACTGCTTTAGACACCTCATGTACATGGACTCATGCAGCATTTATCCTTCTGTGACTGGCTTATTTCACTAAGCTTAATGCCCTCAAGGTTTACCCATGTTGTTGCAAATGGCAAGACTTAACCCTACACGACCATCTCTGTTCACATTGCAGTCAGACTACTGGGTCCAAGACAGGCTAGACAGAAGCAGGTCCTCTGGGTAGCTCTTGGAAAAGTTGGGGCATTGGACAGGTACCCCACCTTTTCTCCTTTCTAGGGAGAAGCTGGGAGTTGGAGATTTTTGTTTACTTACTCTGTGCTGAGCTGAGGAGAAGGGCTGTGGGCTATGGTGACTGCCAGCCTGCCTCAGTGTCACTGATCTCATTGGCCCAAGTAGCTAAATTATTCCAGGTGCTATTAGCGCTCTGAAACAGGCTAGAGAGAAGCCAGTCCTCTGGGTAGCCCTGGAAAAGGTGGGGCATTTCCAGTAAGTCCACCTCTTCCATGCCTAGAGAAAGCTGAGAGCTGGGAGTTTTCTCTGGATTTACTGCGCTGGTGCTAGAAATTATAGCAAAACGGTGTCTCAATTTTCCCCACTGGCTTCAAAGTGGATAGTTGGGCTTTCTTTCCAAAGTGGAGAGTTTTGCGCTCATCTAGGGCACAGTATTCCTCAACTAGTCTCTGAATTTCTCACAAAGGGAATTTATCCACGAATTGTTGTCGAATCGGTGTGTTTACAGCTGAAAGTAGGATCAAGGGCTTCTTATTTTGGCAGATTCCTGCCATTTTTCTGCTCATTTGTTTTCTTAGAAGCATAAATTAAATAACCATTTATATATTTATCATTTATATTTCCAGCCTTAAGTGATACAACACAGAAATACTAATTCTGTTGATAATATCTATCTAAATTAGATTTGGATTGCAATCAAATGCAATTTCACTGGATTGTAAATGTACAAAATATTACCATGTATTAGTGGAAGAAATTGGGACTGGATCCATCTCAGGATTGAGAGTAAGTACTTGCCATTGTAAGCAATGCCATAAAACATCTCCACATGGTACTAACTGGGACTTCCAGCGTTTTCCGATCACCTGCCCAGGCTTTCTGAACCATTGCTTTAGAGAAGCTTCTAGCTACTCTAGCAATAGAAAACTATCTTGTAAAATCTAACATGATGCTCTTGGTTTTTACTGGATCCAGTAAAATTTTTACTTGCTCCAGCACTTTTTTCAGCTACCGTAAGTTACGCTGTTTGTTAAAACACTAAAGAAATAACCATGGGGCTTCAAGAAAGCAAAAGTACACACGGAGAACACGGTAACCTCAGGTTAACAGTTTAGAATGCGTTTTCACTGAGAACTCAATGAAATATACAGGCTTTTGCTGGTGAAGAGTATGAAATAGATTTTAGAGTTAAGTATCTAAAAGAAAGAGTACTTTAATAAACAAACACCCTGTTTCATACTGCAGAGATGGTTGCTTGATTCCAAATGTCCCCCAACCCTCCCCCAAATCCATAGAATCTATAAGGAAAACAAATAAAGCCACAAAGATCCATGCCCCTTCGGTATCTCCAGAGACACAGAGAGCCACACCTTCAAATTATCTGTAAGCAGAGAAAAAAACTGTTAACAGAGCTTTTGCTCCAGCTGCTACTGAAGCCTATGGTTAGGCTAGTGAAATTAGTCCTTAAAATATTCTATAAAAAATCAAACA